TTTCAATGACTGGTGCCGTAATAAAACGGCATGGAATGAACCAATAACCAACTTCTACTACGCATTTCCGTTTTGAACTGGGTTTGATTTTCCAGCGGTATTTTCCAACAACTTATTTGAAGCAAGCACCCCTCCATCTGTAAGCTCGTGATGCTGATATGGCCTTAATATTGATCGAGTGGTTCGACGGATAACCCTCGTCTCGCTATCAAAATTACTCACTAGTGATGCCTGTCGTCGGGTCAAAACTCGACCATGGCATTGAATTCCTTCTGTACCATTTTTTTGTTCGGAATCGACTTTTAATGAATGCCTTCAAATATGTTATTTTGAAGTTATTTTTTAACCTCTGAACCAAAAACTGAATCAGTGGATTAAGAACTCCTGGGGCACCAAATTTGTTTTTCTTCGTGAATCGATCGACACAACCAGTTGGTAGTATCGAGAAGGCTGGCACCAATCAACCGGTTCATTGTCATTAAATTACGAAAAGAGCCATCAATCGCAGACAGGTGCCAAAACTAACATGTTATTAATCATCGTGTGAACGAATTAGCTCTGCCATACCATCAAGTTTTGATTGGGTCGATTGTGTACGAGTTCCCATCTCGACACATGAAAATACGCCTCGATCGAGGAGGCATCTTGGACGCGTGGATCGTTGAGGGTGATGCTCTCACTACCGATGAAACAAGAAAAGCACTGGCACTATAAACCTCTGCTTTGCTCCCCAAAGACAGATACCACAACGAACGCATTCCCCGCAACTGGCACGGATCAATTAATGAACTATTTAAGAGTCTGCACTAAACTGTACTAAACTCGTTTTGTCTGGGATTGCCTTGAATGAGCCGGTTAATTAGCCTGGGATCCGCATACCATACCAAAGAGAATTGCATTAACAAGTGAAGCTATTGCAGTTTCAGGAGTGGACCAAGTGTGGCAGCATAATTTCGATGATTTTCAGCTTCAGACGGCGATCTTCCTGCTATCGCACAGAAAGACTATTTCGTTTTTCAATTTTTTAAGGATTGAAAACGATAACTTCTGGTGTCCTATAAAATGATAAGTAGTGATCGTCAAAAAGGTTCAGTATATTGCGCTGATATGTATGAAACTATAGCATTCGCTTCAGGTAGAACGGAAATTTTCATTTCGCCCTCACTGAAACTGTTGAATGCCTGAGTCGTGTGATAAGGGACTGCATGAGCCACTCCCCTCTCTACGATGATGAACACGCTTGAATCTCTAAATCCGATGTTGGTAGCTATAAGTAGACAAACCGGAAGTTCTTTTCCTTTATTCTAGAAGACGGCCCACCACAACGCTTTCTCAGAAGTACATGTTTTGTGCCATCCAACATCACTAAATGTAATCATTTGCTGGAAAAGTGGAAAAAGCACAAGTCTAGATAACAATGGCCAACGTACCTAATACGGTTACTGAGTCCTACTCATGCTGCAAACTTCCAGTCTTATGCCGTACGTCCACTGCCAAGTTCAGTCCGAAAGATAAATAAATGTTTCAAAACCCAGAAAAAGATTACCAGACACGTTTGAACCGAAGAAGTCTCAACTATTGGCGGAAAACACTCAATTACAGACCAGACTATCGGTAACACAAGATCCAACTGAATTCCACCTGAATCTGTTGTTTGCGATTCGATTAAATAGGTTGCAAAAAAGCCACCTCGTGTTTCATTTGGTCCACTATTGGAGGCCCTGTTTTATGTTATCCTGACGGAACACTACTCATAAGGTTACTGTAAAAGTCTCCTACAGCCAACAACCAGTTTCTTTCCTCTTTGGGATCTCCAGTAAGGTACATTGCCTAGGATCTCGTCAAACTTACATTGTATTTGAAAACCCCATTGTACGCAAGCGGAAAAATACACTCGTCTACAGAAGTTTGATAAAGCATATTCAGCTGAGGGTATATTCAACGAAAGATTCGGTTTCGTCAAAACCAACGTAATCAGTCAATGAGTTTATTTCATTTGACACCTAGAGTTTGGTGTTCAAATGGGAAATCAATATGGCGGAAGCTTGAGCCTACACCTTTCTGATAATTCACCAGAGGAGCGTGACCGGAAGCGAGCAATGGAAGTGATAATTCAAAACCCTTGCACAATAATTCCTAATTTGTTAGAGATCGTGACATTCATTGTACATTTTCCCGCCCGAATAAAATCGGACGACCATACTGGAATGTTAGCTCGCTCATCGACCGGACAAGGCACGTGATCCGGTAAGCACAGCTGGATGATCAATTACTGACGAATGGATCACATGATCCAATCAACAAACGGAGCAAGAAAACCAATGAGTCACTGGTGCCCGAGAATAACGAAATATATTAGCGATTGTTACATTTTTATGAGACTGTGTGTCTGTTCGCCGAGCACTGTTTTACTGGTGACTTCGGAACAGTTTCGTGACACCTTTTAAACATAATTCGACGATTTTCTCTTTCTCATAGCTGATGAATTCATCTGTTCCTGAGTTTCCGAGTGTGACTTCAAACCAGAAAAACAATTTTCCATTATTACAAATATTTTCATATGAGACTCACACTCCACACGGTTACAGAAGAACTCGATTTCTGCACATGAAAGTGAAAAACCTGAGGAACTCAAATTCTTTCCTTTCTTTCGCTGATTATCCAAAGCACCCTGGAGATAACTGTTGGAATTTTCTGTAGGTATTTTCATATCGAACTTGAAGCTGTTGTGCTGCAAATGGGAATTTGTAAAACAAAAAAAACGTTACAAATTACGAGAGGCAAGTAGTCAAAAATTATTCCGTTTGTGGATAATCGGTCTTTATTATCTCTTGAAAGTACTCCAGGCAGACGCTTAGATCCTACCAACAGATGGAACAGACACAAATTTAACGGAAACCTCGACAATAATAGTGGTCGACGCGTCAGCAGCGAACCGTAGAAGGACCCCAGTTTACTTTTGGAAGAGGTAAAAAATCGCCTTTACTGTCTTCTTGTGTATGCTCACAAATTCGCAAGCGAAGCTGAGTTCGAATAAATCTGAAACTATAAACGGTTGATAAAATAAATTGTACCAACTGAAGATGTGCTTGAACGAATGTTGGAAGAAATCCGAGTATTTTCCAAAAGAAAACTCCTTGCTTGGTTTGTGGTAGCTCTTCCGCAGAAACCATTTACGTGGTTTCTTCCACTGAACTATTTTGCGATATCTCGAATATTGTACCGAATGAAACATGGGGGACCTTTATGCAGCACATTCAGTTGAAGAATAGCATAAACGAGGGATTTATTCGAATCCCCCGTGAAGACCAAACTGTTTTGCGAATAAACGTATTTGTCTAAATTCCAGTCTTGTTTAGGATTTAAATAATGAAATAGAACTCTATGCAGTCTTCAGAATGCCGCAAGCAGAAAATTCGATTTTAACGTTTCCCGACCCATTTTGCAACTGGCTCAACTCTTTGACCACTGTTTTGATACCTTGAGAACAATGGGGAACTGAATCAATCATGAATGTTGCAACTGCGGTGATGGTAACTTCCTTGTTCATGCCCGTGATTCAGGTGTTCGGAAAAATCAAGACGCGTTTACGAAAATATGAAAACATCGAAAGCCGTTCGACGCTATTCAAGGGATGCATTGAAAGTAAGTCCTTCAGTAAACATGATATTTTTCGGGCCGATGCAGAGCAGGCTTGAAAAATGAGCTGAACCATTGGATCGGTGTACTGTAGAACAAACAACATCCGAGTTTGTCACTTGGGTTACTATTTTTAGAAACAGCTTCAGCACTTGGGTAGTTTTGTGTAACTGATTTAGTACTCTAGATGATGCGCAGCTGGTTTCATCCTTTTCGTGGTCTCTCAGGTCATTCTAATGTTGAGATAGCCTTCAGCTATCTTCCTTGCTTGACAACCGACCCTGATGAACACCAAAAACTCCTCTGTTTGGTGTACAAAGTGTGGGCATAACACAAAGCCCTTCACAACTCGCGATGGTTGATTTAACTGTACACAAGCAACCTTCATAATAAAGTAGTTTTTGCATGACCACACACTCCTCCGTGATCATGGAAACATCTCACACGAAAGCACTAGTTTCGGAAGTTCTGCACTTTAAATCATTGAACTGTCCACTTTCCATAATCACACAGAATAGAGCTTCTGTTTCCTCAAACGGGTATTTTCACTGATAGAAACAGCAGAATGATACAACGTAAAGCACACATACCTGGAAAACCAATTTGGTCAAGGTTAAATAGCCGTCACCATCCGAAAAAATTGTTAAAATAACCTATAGGCACTTAAATTTGCTTTGGTCACTGATAAGGCTTTCAATTTAAGATCCGGTGCCGAGTGAAACCAGTCTGTGACAAATAACCAGTACTGTCCAACCTTCTTTTTCTACAAGTTTACAGCACTACTGACCAGCCATCAGCAGCTGAATGGTATTCAAAGGGCCTTCTGGTTGTCTCGACTATCAAAGGCAATATACGGCGGATGCATAGAGGAGAATGGTCGTTGGCTTGTTCGCTGAGCTGGGCAATTTGCTTGCAAACGTTTCATCACCAATCGAGGTGACATCATCAGTGCGTAGTTGTGCGTAGCGGTGGGTTAGTGGTTGTGCCACTAACAACCACTAACCCACCGCTACGCACAACTACGCACATCGATCGGTGATGAAATGTTTGCAACCAAATTGCCCAGCTCAGCGAACAAGCCAACGACCATCTACGCTACCTGAGCTACCGACATTCTTCTCTATAGAAAATAGAGGAGAATGTCGGTAGTCCAGGTAGCGTTGTTAGTCCTTGGTCTGTCCGTTGAGATTTGATTGGAATCAAACTGCTTAGCTCAGCGAACCGGCCATCGACGATCAACGCTACACGATCTACGCACATGCTTCTCCATAGCAAACCACTTCGAGCACACAGCGCTCAAAGAAGTTCGCCAAATGGAGAGCTTCGCGTATAGAGTAGTATATATATATATGTATACTACCTGCACTCAAGACAAGTGTAACATCGTCCGCTGAATAGCCGTTGATAAAGAAATTCAACTCCGTTCTCCGATCGATGTTGAATTGAATTGCACGGGCCATAGGAATGTAATTTTGATCGTCATCTTCAGTGTTTACACAGTCATCCTCCTCAGGACGTCGTTCAATCCAGTAGAAGGGACAGCAATCCAAGCCAGAGTCGGCGATTATTTGGACATTCCATTGACACGGTAACTTGTAGTACAGGTTGACGTTCCTCTCCAATATCCGGTTGATCAGATCCTGCAAACGGGTCCAGAAAAATTGTATATGTTACAGGGACGACCGTAAACAAAAACTGAACATCTGCCACTGAACTTCGCCCAACCAACCAGTAAACCCGACACCTGTGTTCTAGCTAATGTAGAGTGCCCAGCAGGCCCATGTAATTGTAAGAATCGAGACTGTATCCATAAAGTTTTCAAATAAAAAAACAATGAATAGTAAAAAACGGTTCATGCTGGTCGGAATAACCTACAGATAAAGATGGAAATTGATGCTTGACAAATCTATCATGATTATAAAAATAGTTGGCGGCTACAGGTCAACTTATCTGTTGGTGATGATCAGACCTTGTGATATATGGCAATACCAACCGAACACATGTGTCTCCGTTCCTCGTTGTACTTTTGTTTCAGCGTTAAAGAATTCGTTCAAGACCTCCAGAACAGCTCTAAGCACGGTTATTACTCTTGATAAGCGACGCTTGCGCAAAAAAATTCGTGATTTTAGTTGGGAATTTCCATCAAGATGGTGTGGGCTATTATCTAAGTTCAAGTCAGTTAGTAGACTAAATTACAAGTTATTTGGCCATCAGGAGGGATCTAGAGGTCCATTGCCGTTAGCCGTAGGTTTTGGTCTGTACCAACAGAGTACAGTGAGACAGACGCGAGAACGATTCGCTTTTGTTTCATCACAATATTTCCTGGTTAATGGGAAGGATCTGCCATTCATTCATACGGCTGACAATACGACTCTAAACTTTAAAATTTACCTGAAGTTAACCAACTCTGAACAGTGATAAGTGAGCATCCAACAGAAGATGTTCTTCTCCATTAGAGTTGAACTTTTCGTGGAAATGCTGCCACCCCCTGATGAAGAGGCCATAATCAGCGATAACTACTGATGAAAAGGTTTTCATCCTTAGCTTGCAGGATTGAGTAGATCAGATTTGTTTCTCAACTTTTGTTTGGTTGAAAACAAACCCGTGGAACCGTGTATCAATGGAGCATCGAATGTGCAATTCACAAATTTTCCCAAGTGGTCACACTTGCCAGTTTAGACACTTAGTATACTGAGACTACTGGCAGTGATCTTCAAAACCATATGCTAGGAACGTCCGCATGAGAACGTCATCACAACATCCCCCCATATGTGTTTGATCGGCGTCCGTAGTTGGGTCAGTGCGGTCAGTGATCCATCTTGAATAACCACAAAAAGGTGTGCTAAGTTCCATGCAGGCGTTTGTTCCCCTAAAAGATTTTCATCGCAGTGGAACACGTTCACATCATGGTACGATCTGACAGCCAGTACGTTTCGATCAGCTACTGTTCTAATGAAAGTTATTTCAAAGGTTTATTACCAGTCTATAAAAAAGTGCTGTGGACTATCCTGAACACCGACCTCTATGGTGAGATTAGACTTTAAGATAGCAATAAAAAACTGCAATATTCATATGAATGTAAAAAAATATCTCAAAATTAGCAGATTTTTTTGTAGTGGCCCACAATTTCACCCTAAGCTGAACTCACTGATATCCTACCTTTAGACATACTTAAAACCCTTTATCGTTTTTGCATCGAATGCAAATTTATCGAGCGCCACCCGTTTAGCAGAGAACTGGTTCAGAAGATTCCTCGTACCGCGAATCAATACGAGAAAAAAAACGAAAACGTCGTTAGAATGCCCATTCCACCAATGATACCAAGCAACATTTGCTTGTTGGTTGGGATGACCCCGCAGTTAAGCTGATTCAGGACGCACACAAGGGCGCTGCTCTTGCCATGATTTCGGAAAGCTGGTTTTGTTTAGACAGCCTAGATGTACTGGAAATTAGGCCATCGCAGTAAGGGTTCGCTGGGTTGACACAAAGCCATGCTTCACCCCACTGTCCAAGAGAAAGAAGACCGTACACCCACTACATCAGCGACACAAATCCTGCAGCTTAATCATTTTCTCTGTTCAAACTTCCCAATGTTTGACAAAAACGACTGCAAATGACTACCTGTTTCGTCCGCAACATCCGCTTGCCACCCTGAGAATGCTAGTGGGCGAGACGGTCTAGTTGTTAGAGCGCGTATTTACTGACCGAAAGGTCCGTGGTTCAAACCTGACCTATGCCTCTCGACGACCCATGTCTGGACTTCGGCAACCTTGAAGTATCACAGACCTCGTGCTTCGTTTGGATGGCATGGCAGCTAAGCATGGAAAGGGTGTTACATCAGATCGTACCTCAAAATTGTAAATTCTTGTAAATACATTTAATGGCACTTTGAATCATTTGTTCAAAGGATGTGGCATTTAGTAGATATAACCACCAAAGTCTTAGGCTGAAACCAAAAGTTTATAAGAAGAACAACTCCCTGGGCTGTTCACACTGTTACCCAAGAATGGACTTCAAGGGAGCCTGCTCATTACCAAAATTGCTAAATTCGAAAGACATGGTTACTGCTATTGAAGGCTTAGTTTGCATATTTATTCTATACGGTGAGCACAGCATAAGCGCAACCTGACTTTTGTCGCGATCCTGAATCTACTTTCTTTGGTGCCAGCGGCTTGCTCCACAACGACTACAAAAGGTGATGACTTTACCATCATGGACGGGGGTCATGAATGAAGGGAACCTAGGGCCCTGAGTCCGCTGGTCAAGTCGAACAATCCAATGGAAACAACACAGTTTTAGGACAAATTCATTCCTGAAGTACGATTGGTGAATTATACTCTTCCTCTGAGCTACTTATTGATTGATAGTAGTGTGAAGGCATTTGAGAATTTACAATGGACATTTCGTCCCGAAAATTCCACCTGAGACGTCACTCGAGGAGTCAGTCAACACATGACCGGGTGATGTGGTTTTTGTGACTGAAGTACAAGGGTGAACCAGCATACTTCCACACAGTACTTCCACCAGCCATCGCTTCTGGGTCACCGAGCTCATGGAGAGTGACAGATGAAGGAGTTGAGTTCGTCGCTGGCGGTTTAAAGTGCATGATGCAGGCTTGGATCTTTGTCGCTGGCGATTTAAAGTGCATGATGCAGGCTTGGATCTTGTATGCGTGCTTCAAACACATGATACCCATCAACTCGAAAGGCAACAGTGCTTCTCAGTCTTTCAGCATGGATTGGTTTCACTCACAAAACGAAATATCCACTAAAAACCCAAAAACTCTATTCTGTCAAGTGTTTGGGTGCGATTTTACCTCGAAAATTCATTCAGCCAAGGAAAGAAACCCACTCATAAACCCTAGTTTTCAAAACAGGTCCTCATTTATACATCCTGTGATTTCATCACCACTTGGTGCGTCCTTTGATTCTATTACTCTGGAATTGTCTTTACCTTAAAGTAGAGGCTGGAGGTTCATCTATTGACGATGTCTCTGGCTTGAGTTAACTTCACCTGAAGTGGAGCGCATTGGAATCAGCCACAAGACGGAACTCTAAGCTCGTTTCAGGGCAAGGAATTTCCTCCGCGAAGGCATCACTGGGATTGCTTACGTGTCACGTCTTGCAGGATTCGCAAGCAGGATCATGTGGATCCCGGCCAGGAAGCTGCGAAGAACTCATTATACTCCGCTGGACTGTAACTTCCTTCATTTCAAGTTGGCATGTGATGCTCCTAGCACTCCTAGAGACAAATATCGCCTGGAACAGAAAATAACGCGTTTTCATGAATGGTACAGTACACGCCCTAAACAGTTCCGACTTGTATCAATGGATAATTATCCCTGCAACCACTGTTAGTCGAATATCAATGCAAGGAACGCAGACATAAATTGTTTGAATTTATCTTTCGCAGAATATTTCGGTGGAATATGTTGAAAACCACTGATGTTTTTGCCTCGGACTATCACTAAAACCTGGCTGACTACGCTGAATTGAATAGGACTATCTCTCTGTTAGAGTTGGCGTTTCTCCTTCTGTCAACCCTCAGTAACGACTCTCTTCTGGGAAGAACAGTATTTGCGAAAATGGTTGAATAAGATCGATAACCGGTTTTGACACGTACCCGGTCGGTGAGTTGAATCGCCTCTGTTTGGCCGTCCACATCTGTCATGTTCCACCATTCCAGACGTCTGAGTTCATTCAGATTCAGTAGGAGGAGACCAGTATTGATTCCGTGTGTCTAGAAATAAGGTGAGTCCTGGACTTTTGAAAAAGAAAAGACGACAATCATCTACAGTTTACCCGAAAATTGCTTGAATATTCCCATGGATCGTCACTGTGCACTTAATCTAAAAGTTGTCTAGCCGGTTTCAAGCGTCTGTAGCGCTACCTGACTGGGATACCTGACAGGCGGACCGATCGGTCGACACAGCCAAGACTGGATCGTCGTTCGAGCCATCGTGCAAACCAATCACAACACCCAGGTGTGAACATGTTCACCCATTCAGGCTTGAAAATTCAGGTTCTCCAGAAAGCGATGGTGGGGTCGTGAAGATATACTCGCCTCGCACTTCAGATGTGCAGAGTTCAAACCCAGGCACTTCCGATGGGCCCCAGTAAGAGTGAAACCCGAGTCCAGTGCTCAACCCTTCGGTGTGCACGCACCGGAATGATAGCGGCAGGACAGGAGGACGATTGTTCAAACGAGAGTGATGCGAGCGTGAATTCAACAAGGCCAACAACCACCAACAGCTAAACACATGGGCTGCTTGATGAAAGCACACGTGATGACCTTGAATTACCTATTAGGCATTTTTCAGATTCAAAACTTCAGTTTGAATTGATCAAATGGATACTAGTTGTAACAGCAGGTCAACATAGAACTGCTTCCTCAGTTGCGTCGTTGAGGAGATAAATTAGGTCCTTTTATTCGCCCCATCAAACAACTTGGGTCCGTTTTTCTACTCTTCATGACCGCATTCAGATTCGCCTAATGAAAGCAAAACCCTCTTATTGCTTCGTTTCTCGTGCCTGGTTAGGACCGTTTAGAAACCAAAAAAAGTTGTTCTGAAGGCCCAAGGTACTTTTAGTCTTCTTGAAAATATGAAAATGAGATTATTCAACTGTAGGACACTGGCACTCCACGACAACTATTGTCCGTATTCGTCGCTGCTCTATTTCGTTGGAGTTGAGAATCTCAAGTCAGGAGGACAATCCTACCAATTTGGCAATAATGATTAGGAGCCCGCATTCCCATAATGCAGCTTCCCGAAACTGGAACATCTAGGTGATAGTTAAAAGAACTGAAATGGGCGACATGGCTCGAATGGTTAGAACACAGATTTACGGACCAGAAGGTCCGTGGCTCGAACACGACCTCTGCCACTCGACTTCCCCTGTCTAGACTTGGGCAACCTGGAAGTATCCCAGCCGTCGTGCTTCCTTCGGGTGGCCTGGCATCTAAGCGCCGAGAGGGCGTTACAGCTGAACGTTTTTCACCAACGGAAAAGCCACTTGTAGCCCTGTTTTCTCGACTGTTGCCTGTCAGGGATTCCGAATTTTATACGTAAACTTAGCCCTTTTGGCACCAACATTTTTAAACAATATGAATTTCACTCACGGGAATTTCTCCGTCACCTGTAGAGCAAAAACGAGAACAGTCTTGGCCCTGTTCACAAACTGCTCCAATTGCCTAAAAAGTAACACGGCAAAGACACCCGTTCTGTGAGTATAGAACAGTGGACGTTGCCAAAGGAAATTTTCATTGAACAGCTTGTTTAGGATGTTTGAAGTCCCTTCAGTTTCTCAGAGAAAATCTGTACCATGGGACAAATGGAATGAATACACATTTGGAATAGGTAATAACCCGCTGTAGAGACGTGACAAGCCACACCCCGGCACTTCTGAAGGTCATACTATACAGAGAAGTCAGGCAATTTCACTAGACCAACATGCCCTAGCTCATTCCTGAAACTGAATGTCTTGTGGTGATTAGAATTTTTCGATTATTGATTACCAACATAAATCACAGCACTCATTTACCAAGAGTTTCGCACGTGACCTCGCTGGAACACCCTGACGTTACGACAGTGAGGTCATTTTGATGGCAGCGCTCTTTATCGCCAGGCCACCAACTCCTATCAAAACTGAAATTTATTACTGAGGCATACCCGATACGAAAACGGTGTGTTGATGTAGTCGGAATACCATCTATTTGAGGTTGGGCGATGTCACATCCTCGCCTACTGTGGGACGTCACTGTGATTGAGAACTGCCAGGGACATTTCGCGACTCAGCTTTGGGATACATCTGGTTCACGAATCAACTCATTTACAGCAAACTAGGTCTTTTATGACAAGTAGTCTCACGTGAATCTGTTTTCCCATTAATTTTTCCAACCTTTAAGTTTTCGATGAACACACTGTTCTCGTGCCTTTCCAATTTTGCCTCCATAATTATGTGTTGCAGTAGTGCCTTGTTTTCAAAATTTCCGTCTTCGATGTTGGCGTAAACGTGTTTGCCCAGTTTGAACGAGTTCCTGTGAAAAATATTTTGTTTTTTACTCCAGCAGTGTGTATTGTTATCAAAACCTCCTCAAAGAAGATTCAATTGGATTATGTGCTGTCCAGTTGGAAGGATGTAGTAGGGTCTAACCAGCTGATTTTGCAGTTAAACGTTCACATTCTTTCACTGATCTCCACGGGATCACTAAATATACGTGACCGTAGAAATCCACAGTTTTCGTCACCGAATTTTGACGCGCGCGCCAAACCAAGTGTCCACTAGAAAATTCTATATGAAGGCAGATCCGTACATTAAGAATCAGTCCCATTTCAGCCCGATAGTCTGCATTCTTACTACTCAATGGCAGCGCTCTTTATCGCCAGGCCACCAACTCCTATCAAAACTGAAATTTATTACTGAGGCATACCCGATACGAAAACGGTGTGTTGATGTAGTCGGAATACCATCTATTTGAGGTTGGGCGATGTCACATCCTCGCCTACTGTGGGACGTCACTGTGATTGAGAACTGCCAGGGACATTTCGCGACTCAGCTTTGGGATACATCTGGTTCACGAATCAACTCATTTACAGCAAACTAGGTCTTTTATGACAAGTAGTCTCACGTGAATCTGTTTTCCCATTAATTTTTCCAACCTTTAAGTTTTCGATGAACACACTGTTCTCGTGCCTTTCCAATTTTGCCTCCATAATTATGTGTTGCAGTAGTGCCTTGTTTTCAAAATTTCCGTCTTCGATGTTGGCGTAAACGTGTTTGCCCAGTTTGAACGAGTTCCTGTGAAAAATATTTTGTTTTTTACTCCAGCAGTGTGTATTGTTATCAAAACCTCCTCAAAGAAGAGTCAATTGGATTATGTGCTGTCCAGTTGGAAGGATGTAGTAGGGTCTAACCAGCTGATTTTGCAGTTAAACGTTCACATTCTTTCACTGATCTCCACGGGATCACTAAATATACGTGACCGTAGAAATCCACAGTTTTCGTCACCGAATTTTGACGCGCGCGCCAAACCAAGTGTCCACTAGAAAATTCTATATGAAGGCAGATCCGTACATTAAGAATCAGTCCCATTTCAGCCCGATAGTCTGCATTCTTACTACTCAGCAGCTTTGATCGTTCAATTTGTGAAAACGCATCTTTATCGCTTAGCATGGAAAACCCAGTCTTTTTGCATAACACGAACTAAATACGGTGAATCGAACAATGGTAGCACAACGGCCCAAATTAGAGGGCAGTTTCTTTGTTAGGAATGACCCGTTCTGCTACAAACTGTGCTGTTACATGCCGGATATGCGCAAACTGTACTGTGCTGAGGTCAAAAGCCTCACAAAGTCTCTCGATGATTTGTGATGCTACGTGGAGTAGTTCCGCGAAACTCCTGAGCTAAAGTGGCATGTCACCACAAGAACGTAATAGCCATCAACCTGATGACCAAATTTCGTCCATATAAATGAAGGCTGCACTCATCATCTAAGCACCCATTTCCCTTGATTTCTTCAAACTTTTCAAGCTGTTTGCTTTTACCAAACTTTGCTTGACTCTGCTCATTTGTTTTAAGTGCCATGGCTCAAAGCTGATAAATAATTAAACCAAGTGGCGAAACCCTCATTTTTGTGTTTATTGCATGAAAGAAAGGACATTTTGTATTCAAATTTGAAGCCTAAGAAGCAACAGATGACCTCTGAATAGCCAGGTGGTCACTGACCAATCAAGACACAGTATAATAAGCCAACCAATAGAATCGACTGGCCGAATTACCAATGGTGGTCGAATGTCATCCCTGGTTAGCAGCACGCACCACTACTCAACCCCAAAACACTGACGCAACACCACCTTTCACTCGACTCCCCAATAGCACATTGTTGATGTCACCTCTATTTGTGATGAAACGTTTGCAATCAAATTATCCAGCCCAGAGTGCAAACCAGCAACATTAAAAATGCCTGTTTCGACAGGCCAGATGATTGGAAGTCATCAAATTTTCCTCCGATTATTTTGTGGTGTATTGTCATCTAAAGTTTTACTAAGCAGTTCCGCCACTCTTGTGTATCGGGGATTCAAATACCACTTTTTCAGAACACGGTTAAACGCCTTTATTATCCGAATAAGCCATAGAATACATGAAGATCAGGTTGCTGATCTGATGCGTCTGGGTTGGTGCTGATCAGAATGAATCATTCAGATCACGTGTGCGTGGAGTATCACCCTCCTGTGGTACCTTGGCCTGTATGGTGGGCCAACATGTACGTGTGACCTGCAAGTACACCTAGATAGCATACGTGTCTACCTGGCTTACGCTAGCAAGGTTTGCTTGACCATGCATGGAACGGATAAAACTTGAGATGAACTTTACTGTTGTGAAAGTGTGGCGAGCAGAGATGTGTTGGAGGAACTGACTGCTACCCGATGAGTTACACTGCAGCGAGGGTTACGTCCCAAGCTTCTCATTACATACACCGATCCAGAATAAACATCGCACAGACGCTCTAGTCTGACGGGGAATTCGTAATGGTAATTTGCAGATAACAACATACTGAGCTGAACTGATGAAAAGTAACAGTTTCGGCACCTTTAAAAGTGACCTGAGAAGATTTGAATCAAAAGAACAATTCACTACTGATTTGTTTTCTGAAATGCAGTGAACTCCGAAAGGCACAATGCACTTGAGATTTCGTCCCAAAGTGAATAGGTTTACGATTCTCACTGCTGATCCATCCAAGTCCAGCAAGTGTGCTGTGACGACAAGTTTGTGCGAGACGTACAGTTAAGAATGTGTAGAAGACAGCAACAGAAGTTTATGATTCACAGATCAATAAAAGAACTAAGATTGTGGCTTCCTCCAGCATCAAGTGGACAGCAATAATTCCTAATGAGTCCTTTTGTGGGCGTCCCTAGATAGGAAAATCCTTCAGCCTCTGTGATAAAAATGATAAAAAATGGTGCCAGATTTAAACACACAAAACCGTAAAAGTGTCGGCGGCGGCGCTACCACCTCCGAAGCTCAAAGCCTGGTCTCCCAAAGCAGCCGTACCAGATCTTTCCAGTGTGAAAACTATCCCGTTCACATTCGTGTGTACTTCGAGGAAAAGATGGAGGTGACGGCGGCGATGCATCCTGTTAACCACACTACTGATCAGCCAGTCATGATGGAACGATTAGGTGTTCAAGATGCTAACCGGATGGACGTGGTTTGGAGACTCCCAGGAGTTTCGTGAGATACTACTTATGATTCCCAATTTGGAAGAAACATCTGTACAGTGCTTCTCAACGTTTTAGTCTAGATAGGCTTCACTTAATGGACGATGTTAAAACAGAGGAATTAATTTTGATTTGTTCCACGCTTCCCTAACATTTTATGTATCTGTCCTTCAAAAATTAGCACACTCAAAACTACATAGAACACTCAAAATCTACCTGCGTTTGCAATTTATTTCAAGTACTTGGTACTTGTTCCATTTAATTGTATCGAATTTCTGAACTTATTTTCTAACTCCGGTAATGAAGTGCGTCTATTGTCTGCTTTTCACTTTGAATGTCCATTACTACCTTTCATTAGGAGTTTTTTTATCCAACGAATTGAGACCTATAAAAGGTAACTTCGATGACTTGATTACCAAACTGATGACAACATTTAGAGACCAAATGCTGAATCATCTGCGCGACTGCATTCGAATAATTTCTGGTCGTTTTGGATCCCCAGAGGGGCTGATTCGGCATACAGCAAACTGACTTGGATACCTACAGACCTATGATTAAAACTCACACTGTTCTCATGAAGGAAACTACTCACAAGGTTTCTGAAAAGTCTTCGACAGCTTATGACCGGTTCTGCTCTTCTTGGGGCTCATCAGATAGTCACAGTCCCATCATAAACGAGGTTCAGTTGAGTCTCTGGTGAAAACCAAATTGATTTGTAAATGAGTGTATTCGTCAAAATCAGTCCAGTTTGGGTTCAACTAGAACATAAAGTTGACGGAAATTCGGGGACTTCGCCTACCTGATGAGACCCAAGAGGGGTGAAACCAGTCGTGTGTTGTCGAAGGGTTTTCAGCAACCATGTGAGTAGTTTTTTTATGAAAATACGCTGTGATATCTCGAAACCTGAGGCGGCCTTTGTGCAGCACATTCAGTTGAAGAATATCATAAACGACAGATTCAACTGGGTCTCTG